GCTGAAGAGTCGAGACGCTTAGTGCCTTTTCTGAACATGGCTCATATATTCGTGCGGTGCCCAGAATCAATGGCATTAGACTGTGCTCTGTGCATCACTGTTTTAAATTGATTTTAGAGAGAAGGGAGAGAGAGAAAGAAGCCTGGATGTGAGGGAGAAACATCAATCAGTTGCCTCCCTACACGCGCCCCGGCCAGGGATTGAATCTGTAACCTGGGTATGTGCTGTGACCGAGGATCGAACTGGCAACCTTTTGGGGTACAGGATGGTGCTCCAACCAGCTGAGCCACACCAGCCAGCGCACTAGGTGCATAATTTTTTAAAAAGTCATCAAAGGGGGCCTGGCCGGTGTGGCTCAGGGGTTGGAGTGCTGTCCCATGCACTGAAGGGTCGCGGGTTCGATTTCCGCTCAGGGCACATGCCCGGGTTGCGGGTTCATCTGGGTCGGGGTGTGTCTAGGAGGCGACCAGTCAGTGCTTCTCTCTCACATCAGTGTTCCTCTCTGTCTCCCTCACCTTCCCTCTCTCTCTGAAATCAGTGAAAAAAGCCATTTCCTCAGGTGAGGATTTGAAAGAAAGTAATCAAAGGGAAACACACCCAGGGTGAAGGGAGGAAGGTGAGCTGTGGGGCGCTGGCGCCTGCAGCTTGAAGCTGTGTCTCCCTCACCCTTCCCCTCCGGCTCGCTGGCTCCAGAGCCCCCGTGACGCCCCAGCTCCTGTGCTCCGCCTTCAGCGTGCCAGCCTGGCGTGGCCTGCGGGGCCTCGGGGGCGACAGTCCCTTCAGAGCCCCCCCATGACGCCCCAGCTCCTGTGCTCCGCCTTCAGCGTGCCAGCCTGTCGTGGCCTGCGGGGGCTTAGGGGTGGCAGTCCCTTCAGAGCCCCCCTTTTCCCCTGGTTACCCAGCCAGGGCTCAGGAGGTGCACTGCAGTTTCTCGCTGGCGTCCCAACCTCAGGACAGCTGTCCCCATTGTTGCTTCAACTCCCCCTTATGACTAAGCAGAGAGAAGGGAACACAGCGCATGGGGCCTCTCCCCGAGGCTGTGTTTAAATCCCCGGGCACCTTTCAACAGAGAAAGAGCATTTTGGCAGCCAGGCCATCCCTTGCTCAAGGAATTTGCTAATCGTACCATGATTGATGCCAGGGGTTTCTCTGCAAATCTTAGCAGCACTTGAATCGCCCTTCCGTTTAACTCCGGACCCGTTTCCTTTCTAAAAGAGGTTTCTGATTCTTGCGACCACTGAAAGGTTTATGCAACAAGGGGGCGCCGTTTGGTCCCTGCGCGGACTCTCCGGTGAGCGTCTTGTCTTTTCTGCCCCCCCTCGCCTGTGCCTGGCCTGCCCAATGCAGGTTTTTCCTCGAGCAGAACAACCGGATATTCCAGACGCTGCTGGAGGTGTCCGCCAGCCAAGACAAGACCCTGACGGCCGAGCACGCGCGGGGCATGGGCCTGGACCCGCAGGGCGACCGCAGCTTCCTCATGGACTTGCTGGAGGCCTACGGCATCGACGTCATGCTGGTCATCGACAACCCCTGCTGTCCCTGATGGGGCCGGGCCGGGGAGCTGCTCACACGCGGGACTTCAGCCGGGCCCCAGAGCGCTCACTTTTTATTAAGTGGACACAAAGGAATATAGTTTCTACTTTCCAACAAGTGTAATTTTTGTAATTGCCGTTCTCCCCGGCCCTGGAGGTAAGATGAGGCCCCTGTGGTCCTCTGTCCTGCTGCGTTCCCCAGGGCGCCGGAACCTCCCACCTTCCCCCAGGGTCGCCCCCTGGTCTGGTCTTCGGCGTCGTATCGTTGATTCTCTCCCCTTGTTGAGCGACTGGAGATGCGGAGAAGGCCGTATGTCGCTGGGGGTAGGCTGGGCTCTGGAATCACGGGGGGTGGGGTGGGGTGGGCGTGGGGTGCTGTTCAGGAACTCTATGGTCTTTGTACCTCGACGTGTTCATGAGCGAGACCACTGTCTTCCCGGTGTGGCCTTGGGTGTGCGTCTCTCCGGTGGCAGATCTTTATCTGTTCTGGGGGTCCAGTCAGGACCAGATCCCTTTTCCTGTTTATTAGGACAAATCTGTGTCTTCCTGTGAGTGGAGGCCTCAGAGTGGGACAGAAGGATGTTTCTGACCCCGAGCATGAGCTTCTCTAAGGACAGGAGGACAGGGAGAGGTGGCTTATCCGTCAGCCGGAAACTGACATTGTAGCACGAAGCCTTGAAACCTCCCTCCCGGTTCCCAGGGGTGGGATACTCCTGGCCCAGAACCCCCGCCTCTTGGGAGGGGGTGGCGAATTCCTAAGGGCCAGCGCCTTCCAGCAGATCCAGTTTCCGATTCACTCTCCTTTAAGGGCCAACCGGTCTCATGGAACAATCTGGGTGTTTTTAAAGAGTAGCATTTGTTGCCCAAAGATAGAGGAACTGAGGTGCAGGATAGAAATGCTCCTTCGTGCAGGGAGCCCTCTGAGGGGTGACCAGCAGAGCCTCCGGGTTCTGGACCTGGGCTGGTTAACTCGGAGCTCAGCACGTCTGCAGGCCCTGTACTAGCGAGAGGCCCTCACACCCCACCTTCTCCTCAGCACAGGACAGTCCTCGAGCTGAGTAACTGGGGCCAGGGACCCATCAGATTTGTAGAGAGCAAGTATGACAGTGCCTTCCCCCAGGAGAGTGGTCAGGACGAGTTTCCGTTCTCAGAGGTTTCCGTCCGGGACAGCTCCCGCCGGTCCCCGCCTGGTCCCTTTGGCTGGGCGATGGATGGACGTCAGCTTAGGCGAGACGGCGTTTGTGACCTAGGAAGCCAGGTCCTGTGAGTAGAGTCTTGGGCCACAATTTAGGCTTTTGGCTTGGGATACTAGGTTATTGGTGACAAATAATTCCTTCCCCTTCCCGCCCAGCTGTTACCGGGCTGGTGGACTGGCCATGGGTGTCTCCGTGTGTGTGACCGTTCCAGCCAGGCCAGCGTGCACAGCAGAGAGAAATAACTGTGAAATGGACGAATCCCACGTCTGGTTGCAAGAGGAGCTTTTTAGGGCTTCATGCGTTACTCAAACCTATTTTCGCCGCGGCTCCTCAGTACAGAATTCATGGCTTGAGAAATTCGCACGCGGAACCGCAAGCGGGCCTTGATTCATCGGGGTGGCGCCTTTTCTGTAAATATATAAATACGCCTGGGCATTGAAAGGCAGGCCGTGCAACTAATACACGCCTCCCCTCTGCGGCCCTGTCAGGAATACATGTGTTTACAGAGGAAAACGTGCGTTTGGAAGCGGAAGCTTCCCCGCTGTGTTCCTAGGACAGTGCCCTCTTCTCCGCCTCCCGGGCGGCCTTTCTGACCGGGTCGGGCGCTGCTGACTGCCGGTGGCGGCCGTCGGGAGGGTTCAGCGCGTCTTTTCCACTCTGTCTGCTTGCGAGCACTTTTGTTCTGTGGTCTCGTAGCTCGGGGCTCGGAGGTGCCGAGACGCAGGCAGATGAGGTTCCTGCAGTGACCTGGGAACGTGGGCCAGGGCCTCCAGGTTCTCTGGGCTCCACTGTTGCAGGCAGCCGTCTGTCTGCACGGCTGTGTGTCCACCCTCATGCTCACGCAGAGGGCCTGGGTCTGGGCGCCCCAGTGGGGAACATACCCGTGAGGCTGTGCCCTGAGGTCGTGGGGAGCCTGGGCTTGTCTGTCCCCTGCCTGTGTCCCTTCCCTGCACTGCAGCTTCCTCGTGGGTCGAGATCCGGCGTGGCACCCCCCTGCCTGGTGGGCCAGCGTGCGCACAGGGCCGTGGTTTCCTTTGTCCCGGTTTGTCATCTCCTAGGAGTTGACTGGGAAATGAAGGTCACCTGCGGAAGGCTTGCTGGGTACCTGACTCTCCCGTCCCCCTGCCTCCTGCCGGTGCCTCAGGCGGGCTGCACAGCCCGGTGTCATTTGCTGCCTGTTTTCTGGAAGGGGAAGGAGTTTGTGAGGTACCAGGTGGGAATCCCTGCGCAGTGACAATAGGCGCTGGAAGCCACGTGGGTTTGGTTTTCTACAGCTGCTGAAATACTTCCTGAGAAACCCTCCGCTTCGGTTCGGGAGGTGGTGAGCATCCTCCGAGGTCCTGCTTTCTAGGCCTGTAAGCTCTGAGCGGGTTGGAAACCTAACCTGGGTGCGGTGCCTTGACTGAGGGGCACGGCTGGGGCGTGGCCTCCCTGCCCCAGCGGGCTGGGTCCCCCGGGCAACTTGCAGCCTGATCTAGCGCCGTGCTGTGAGCATGCAGCAACCTGGGACATTGCCAACCTGAGACACCCAGGCTGCCCTGTCACCGTGAGACCAGGTTCCAGGAAATTCCTGGCGGCAAGGGTCCCTGTGAGGCCTGGAATCCAGGCGTGGGGATACCGATGCTAAAGTGGATTTGTTTCAAGTCTGCAGGCTTGGCAGATGGTAGCATCCAGGCTCTGCAACAACACCCAGTTGTCCTCTAGCTTAGGGAGGGGTCAGAAATGGTCGGGCTTGCCTCCTACCAGTTAAAGAGTCTGGGCCAAGTACCTTGCTGAGGATTAGCTTGGGCTTGGGTAGAGGGTGAAGCTCTGCCCAGGCCTGGTGGAGACGCGTTCCTATGCAAGTGTCCCAGCGGGGGCCCCGGAGGGTCCGCAGGAAGTTGTGACTGCGTGGGTCAGAAGGCCCGGGCCTCCCGCATCCATCATCCTCGTGGCACCTCTCCTTGCACGTGGCTGGGGAAGGGAAGCTGCGTTCATGGCTGTGTTGGTGGAAATAGTTTAGCATAGGAATTTGCATCCGTGACTCCATCGATGACTCCATAGATGCAAATTCCTATGCTAAGTTATTTAAGTGGAGCACAGGGCGCAGATAGTTCTAAATACCACGTGTGCAGGCTCATTGGTCAGTGTGACGGCCTGTGGCATTCTAGGGAAGGTCGAGGTAAAGCTCAATTAGACCGGAGCCGAGTCACTCTCTCCTGCTCGTGGCCATGAGGAGCACTGGCCGTCTGTCTTGATCCACTGAACGCCCTTCGGACACAATAGAGAGAGATGATTCACCTTTAAACCTAGGCCTTTGGGAACCTTCTGCAAAGGGCAGCAGCGAATTAACCTTTTAATGGTGGTATAGGGACCTCCAGGAGAGGCTGGGGCCTCAGGGACTGTTATTTTTTTCGGTGGTGGCCCGGGGAATGGGTTGGGATGCTTTCCTCCCCGTCCCAGAGCAGCTCATCCCTGCAGAGGCAAAGGCCGGGGGCTGAAATCATACGACACTGTGCTGATGGACAGCGAACTTGCCTTAGTGTGGGGACAGGTCTGAAATAGCGAGGGAGTTAACCCGGGGACCAACACGCATGCACGTAACAGCTTCATCTCCATTAAGTTCCTCGCCAGTGGGCTGAGAATCTGAGACAGGCCCATTCCCTGCTTACCCCCCTCCCCTCCCCTGTGCGCAGCGAGGATGCTGCAGAGCCAGAGGCTACGTCCGCAGGCCCAGTCCTGTCCTGTCCCCGCATTTCAGGAACCCCCTTTTCTGATTCAGGTAGAGGAAGAGGCGGAGGAAAGGGCTCCTCTCACTCCCAGGCTGTGGGTCTTTCATATCCCGCTGTGACTAATATACCTCTGCTCCCGGGAGCCACTGGAGGGAGCGCTGAGGGTTATGGGAAAAGGCTAACTGTGAATTAAGTTAATGTTTTTCTTACAGGAAATGGGAGTTTATTTTTATATCGATATTACTGTGTGATGAAACGAGTGTGCAGATGTTGAAATGGAAGGACACTTCCAGAATGTAATCCTGGAAGAAATGGGCAGTTTTGGAAGCAGCTGAGACCCCATAAAAGTTTTGTGACTTAGATGTTTTGGAGAGCGAGTAAGGACTGTGAAATCTTTATTTTTTTCAATATGTTTCACTGATTTTTAGAGAGAAACATCATCCATCGGCTGCCTCCTGCACGCCCCCTACTGGGGATCCAGCCTGCAACCCGGGCATGTGCCCTGACCGGGAATCGAACCCGTGACCTTTTGATTCCTGGGTCGATGCTCAACCACTGAGCCACACCGGCCAGACAGGACTGTGAAATCTTAATAGCCCTCTTTAGGAGAGGAACTGGACAGTCCTAGGGAGGATGACGTATCGTCCCCAACCTTAAGTAAAACTCTCACACAAAAGGGGGTAAATGTGATCGTGCTGAGGCCTGTTCCCCGGTGGGAGTGGGGGGCAGCTTTGTTCCTGGCACTTTGACTCGCTTGTGGAGCTGGAAAACGGGGCAGCTGCACACCCAGGAAGGAAATCAGAATTTCCTCCTGCTGTGAGTGCTGGTCGGGAGGGACAGCTCTGCTTTCATTTCTTCAGCTTATCCCAGAAGCTCAGCGTATCGGGGGCTTTCAGAGGCAATGGGATGGAGTGCAGGAAACTGATGAATTACTATGGTGGACGGTCAGCGTGAATCACTGGTTTGTGCAGAAAGCCCAGTAGGCTGATGGTCCATTTACTTTGCCCTCTTAGGGCAGCTGGGGGTGCGGGGGTGGGCCGCGTATTGCAGGTTGGCCAGGGATGGTCCAAAACACGACAGATCTGCACAGAGGCGGCCACTGAGTGAGCTGACCGCTAACCTGACGTTCGAGTGGAAACGTCCCCTGGGCAAGTTAAGCGAAGGTAATGCTGTGAAGAGTCTTTGAAGGTGGCGTCGGGAGGAGCTTCGGTGTGGACTCTGGACTCTGGAACAGACAGGGCGGGAGGGGCCACTGGGGTAGTGTCGAGGGAAACAGGATTAGCTTCCTTATTTCCCCCAAGCTCGCTGGCTAAACTGTGGGTCCAGGAAGTCAACCTTTTCCGGAAGAGAAATCGCTGTAGGTTTGGAATCAAGGTTTTCCTGTTTTGCCAAGTTAGGGGGAAGCATAGCGTCCCTGTCGCCTTAACGTCCAACTCCTGTTTTGTAACATCCCAGTATAAGAGTCATAGCAATAAGAGAAACCGAACCTACTTTTGTTCCAAGTCTTTACCTCCCATTGTGGAGTCGGTTGATGGATTTTACCCTGAGTCCCAGTGCTCATAGGTGTCCCTGCTCTGCTCTCAATGGTGATCATTTTAAAGGCCTAACGCAAGCTGGGGTTTCCCTGAATTTGAGTAAACGTTTCCCGAATTAACACCTGTGTCTATCCTATCTGTATATATCTGAACCAAGTTGTGTGCAGAGAAGTTGATATAACTATATTTACAGAAAATAATTTTTACAATTAAAGTCCACATTTTAACACGAACACGCGTGCAGCAGTCCTTCACCTAGTGCAGGAATCGCGCGCGTGATGGGAAGGAGTGAGCACGACGCAGACCTCGCTCCCCCGCGGCGCTGGGGACCGGAGAGCGGGCGCCCGTCCTCCCGGAGCAAGGTCCGGACAGGCACTGTCCAGGTAGCGGAGCCCAGAGCTGGGCGGAACTGCCACCCAGACGAGCTGGGACCGAGGGAGGAGCCGCAGCCACCGGGCCTCTCCTTTCACGTCTTTCGCCAAAGGTACTTGAAGACATTCTCCTGCATTACATAGCGTTTGATTACGAGAGAGGCACGTATGTATCGCCTGTGTGTAGACACTCAAGTTTTGTTTGATTTTTAACCTCAGGAGGGGGGTAAATGGCCGACTGCTGTGATGTGTTCCNGACTGCTGCGATATGTTCCAAGCCAGGCTCCTCTCCGGGCTGCGCGACCAGGATGCCACCGACTCCCCAGGCTGCTGCGAGGACACACAGTAATTATGACCGCACGCGCACCGGCCGGGTTCGGCAAGAGGCTTCGGTAGAAGGCATTGCTATATTTTCAACAGAAGTAATCGTAGCCCGGGAGTGACGTTAGGTCTGTCCTAAGCAGGAGGCGGGGACTCAGTTTCACGGCCGCCGCAGCACCCGGGTGTGGCCGACCAGGTGACCCTCTCCCAGCTGCCCTGTTAAATGGCCCTNACCAGGTGACCCTCTCCCAGCTGCCCTGTTAAATGCCCTTACATGGACATCACAAGGACGGACGGGCAGGAGACCAGAGTCTCGCAGGACGCAGTTTAAATCAGAAAAACAGCACGTTTAGAGTTAGAGTAAGACACCAACGTGGGTGAAACGTCCTGCGCCGGCGCCGTTCACTATTTTCGCGGGGGGAGAGGCGCTCACGCGCGGGGGGCTGTCCGGGAAGAAGGCAGGT